CACCAAACGCAGCATCACCCAAAAACCAAACAATCAAGCCCCATTCAAAAGCGCACTAAGGCGATCAATGCTATAAAATAGCCATTTTAAACAAATTTGAAAAAACAAAAAATGATTTTTGTTGCAAATAAAAAAATATTTACTGCATAATTTTTTATTTTTTTATTTTTTATTTTTATTTGTTTAAAATGGCTATTTTATAGCATTGATTGCCTTAGTGCGCTTTTGAATGGGGCTTGATTGTTTGGTTTTTGGGTGATGCTGCGTTTGGTGCTTATATGCTGTGTGGTGTCAGGAGGAATACTCATTTATCGCAGTGCTCAACAGGAGAATGAATGTCTGATGACTTACACATACGAGCACACTTATGTGGAGGTTTGTCGATCCTGTCTATTACTTTGTAGTCCATTCCGTTGCAGGGCAAAGCTGTGGACTCTTGTCAAAGGTACAGGCTCGGTGTCTATAGAGAGAGGTAATTTCAGACACTCCATTAGACTAACTTACGCAGTGAATACACTTTTCTGCCAACGGGTTCAGAGGGGTAAATTCACTACCTTTACTAGAGTTCCATTTCGCAGGACAATTCCCGTCCTTTTTATTCCTGGTAGTCAAGGCCATCCCAAGCAAGTGCGATCTCTAGCCACAACTGCTTTTGAAATACCCCTTATTAACTCTTTAAACTACACGTTTGAGTTCTTCTCACTTGATTTCTCTCAGGTATTTGACTGCTTTGTTGATGCAGATCCTAGGATACCTCGGCATTGTCCTCTGAAGTAGTTGAACGTCAGGCAGGTATTGTAACAAAATAGTCTTGATTCTTCCTACTAGAATGCGTCGTCGATGTCGTTCCTTTTATATACCACCTCTTCGTCACAACGCCTGTTCCCATTACCATAGTTGGTCATTCCATGGTAGGCTGTCACTGCGATTTTGTCAAGTTCTATCCGGGTATTTGAAAATGTGGGGAAACTATGGTTCATGTATGGATGGCGAGTCTAGTTGCATTATCATTAATAACCTCTTCCCATTAGGGTGGTGTTGTTGCCCACTACGCCTTAGCCAAGGCAAAATTCGATCCGTCGATGGTGAATTGGGTGATAACGTTGGCGTCTCCACTCAGATCTCCAGGTAGGTTGACCTTTTCTGGATATACTTTCTTCTATTATTTTAGTTGTTGCACTGGGTGTTCATTTGTTGCGAATATATGAGCGTATTTACAAGTTCTGGCGTAGTGTACCCCTGGACAACAGCTATGAGCATGTTACATTTCTTTCCATCACTGGAGGTATTTCGGATCATCAAGTGAGCGTTGTTGCGTATTCATCAGCGCAAAAGTCAGGATTTATTGACCTCTATTCTACGGAAGCTTAGTTCGATAATTTATTCTTCAGGTCTGGGATGGGCTGGGGAAGACCACTCTACCAGTGGATCGTGCACTTCATCTGTCTACTCCATCAATCAATGAAGTTTGGCTCTCCTGTGATCACCTCTGCATCCTGTGGTATGTGTTTACTATAGCTGCGTAAATGTTGCTTTTGTGTGGCTGTTGTGATGCATAATGTCAGTTTCTAAGCTCTGCAGTCTGCAGTTCGGAGCCCGCATATGCTAATGCGACAGGTGTAGGGCTTTGTCTGTGAGGTAAATGGAAACGAAGTTTCGGAAATGGGTGAATGTGTAGAATATGGAAAGGGGTCGTTTTGGAGTTGGCGGTAAGGTGCTCTTAATTTAAGAGCTGAATAGCGCGTGCAGCTTTGAGGTGTCTCACAAGGATAGCTTTATGGCCCGAATACACACCTTCTGCAACTGCGTTGGTTTGCTTCCGGTCACTTCGAACGTAAGTGGCTAATGCTAGTCGTAGACGTTAGTTGGCAGCGTAGAGTTGGGTGAGTTTGTGAAGAAGCTTTTGGATGCCTCGTTAAGAGCAACAAGTCGCGGTAGATCGATTCTTCCCGTTGGGTTGTGCTTTGTTTCACCTCTTACGCATTATTTTTATCTTTCTTACGCGGCATTCCAATGGTCATTTCTTTGTGCCACAGCCTAGGGAAGTCATTAGCATATCCATATATGGCTTGGTTACTAGCACTTACTTTAAAACACACACCCTTATTCCATTGGTGCCCATTTTGAAGTGTGCCGCCTGGTTTCACGTTAATGTGAGTCCAAAGGTTCGAAACCTAGTCAGAAGGAAGTCTACGCACAGTTGCCTGTTTGCTCGTTTTTTAGGTGCAGACAGCTCGTCTTTCGTATCAACCAAGCCTTATTCGCCAATGTGAACGCCACGACACGAATGGTAATTGTTTCCCTCTTATGCTTGTTTATGCGTAACCTCGCACACAAATAAACCAACACAGAGTCATCTTTTGCAGGCATTCGGTAATCGTACAGCCTCTACATCGGTTAGCGCAGGTTATTTTAGGTGTTAATAATGCTTTCTCTCCTCTTTCCAATCCTTAATCTACTGGAGGGAGACCTTGGATATTACTATTGATTTGAATTTTGGTGACTTTGATGGGTCATCAGATTTACACTTACAGAAGTCTCTGTGTCACTCGTGACTGTGGACGAACACGTAGCGAGTGGAGAGTATTTTGCTGTAAGTAAATTTGGGTTTCATTTCTCCAATGCAGTGCTGCGTTTTGAGGCATTCAGTGACTTCAAATTTGGTGGTTATCGCCGTTTTGCATTTATGTCTGCTTATGAACAGACGTCTACTGAATGATGGAGGCATGTTAATTATTTGGTTTCCCAAGTTGTTGCCAAATTTGTTGCTTGTGCCTCCGATGCTGAGCTTGTAGCTGCTGTGGTGCCTATGTTTGTGTCCGTATATATATATATATATATATATATATATATTTTGGCATCAGTAAATAACATTGAGGCATTGCTTTTCACCCAATGGTATCATTATGTGTATCATTCACCCAGAAACTCTCCAGTTTACACTTGACTGCGGAACAGAGGGGCTGGATTGGCTCTGACGCTTCTATTTTTACGCTTTGTTTGGGTTCAACTGTAAAACTTTGTGCTTTAAGATGCCATCAAATGAGAACGCAATTGTCATGACACGTTTTTCTCTTCACTATTGCTGAATGGTGGCTTTTTTTGTGTCCAAGGTATGTATCGGTTGCATAACATGCGATAAGGTGTTATTTTCTCCAGGAGTGTTCAAATGAGCTGCAGACTGTGGAGTGCAATGGCTGACTAGTCTTGAAAGCATGAATCGGATAGACTAGTGAACGTTGGTTGGAAACTGGTCTGGTTCGTGTTACAATGCCCACAACTGTCAGTTGGGGGGGTGGGGTGGAGGGGGAAGAGAGGGTAATGCCTTACACACTTATTCCACTTCGCGCTGAATGGGTTACTGTTGAGATTGTCGATTCGCGTGTGCAAGACCAATGCGTGTGTGCACTGTGTGGTTAATTGGCGCATCTTGGGTATTCCGTGCTTCGTGACTCGGTATTGCAGTGCAAAAAATGCAAATGTTCACGGTCGTGAGGCCGTTGCTTTACTCTCAATGATTATGTGCTTTGCAGGGTACAATGTTCTTTACTGCCGATGGTTTGGTTATTTCAGCCACTGGCAAGTCGAGCAGAACGGATGGATGTGCTGAAGTCGACCTTCCTCTCTCATTCAGTCCCTTTGAGTCCACCTCTCACGAGCACATTCGATCAGTCACCAGGTGTGGTCGATCCAAGCTGTGTGTGGTTCAATCGAGCTGGCGATTTGAATGGAGTCTACACAACCTCAAAGGTTCGTCCTGTCACCGCACTTTACTCGGAATCGTTAAACCCATTTTTGTTTTTTGTTATCGGAAAGAGGGACTTATGCAGCGTTCTCTCGCCAAGCCTACATTGTCATTTTCACGTCCTTGCTCCAGATTCTAACTGTCTCAGTTGGTGAAGTCGTCAAGTCGTCTTGTCCATTCAAACTCTTGACCTGCCGACAATAGGCAGGCCCTCTGTTGCCTTTCCTATCACTGATGGCAAGTTGTCACTTGTTTCGATTTAGTTGATCGCAGATCCACGACAATTTGTTTACCTCTCTCCGGCATGGCGTGTGAATAAGTTTGATGGAGGCGTCAGGTGGTGCAGTCATGGTCAAAGGTTTCCATCGGAACGAAATGTAGTCGATGGTGCACTACATAGGTGATCGCGTGCATGTGGTGTCTGCCTGTATCTTGCGGCTTGGAGATTAGTTCGCCAGGGCGTTGATGGTGGTTGTGCTTCAGGCACCCAAAATCGAGTGGGCTGTGTCAATTGTATTACAATTGCATGGGCTCTTCCTGTCTGCCTTGTTTGAATTGCGTCTCAGTGGGGCATCTTTGAAACGCCCCCACTTTTTGCTCTTGGTTGCGTGATGTCCCCGTATTAGCACCAAAAGGCCTGCGCTGTGTTTAGTCGAAGCGTGAGTTGGCTTTTGGCGGAAACGCAGTGAGAGAAGTTATTTCGATAGAGATGTTTGATGCTGGATAAATGGTCTCACGAAGCTAACAGCGGGTGAAGATGAGTTGACCGCATCTCATCGTCCTTCTAATGCCAAGGTACTTTATCCGATTGTATCGCCATTGTCATCTCCGTTTCTTGTCTTTGCATCACCAGGTGGATATGACGATGTTTTGGAGAGTGTATGCACTGTGAGCAGTTTCGGTAAGGAATCGGAAATGAACCAGGTTCGTATTGGGCAAGTAC